GAGACCATTTAGTTTTTTAAGTCTCTGAGGTGCTGCTTTGAGGTTTGGTTGATGCTTTTCCATTTCTTTTGGAAAAAACGCGTTCAGAGAACCCAGTTTTCTGGGCAGTGCTCTGGGGTAGCATGTTAAATGTTTTACTGCTGGTGATGTTTTCACACTGTGTAGTGGGGGCAGGGCAATCAAAAGATTAAGTATTATGAAACGAAAATGAAAGTGGGGTTGTATTGATAGGTGATATAAAGGGCATACTTGTTTTTAACTTTTTATTCACAAAGGCAAGCCTTGTCTTGTGTTCTAGAATTCACTTGTGGTTGTTGAGGGATCCCATTTACCAGGGGAATACAATGCGTAGAAAAAACCTAGATCTCTTGCAACGTAGACAATTTACCTATTAATTCATAGCGCTTACACAGATGATACTGTATTTCTGTTTCAAAAGAGAGCATACATACACAGCCACCAAAACTTTTAGGAGTTTCATTTGTCTGTGACTTATCACAGGTTACTGAAATAAGCAAGTTCTTACTCTGTAGTCAATTCATCTGAGTTGTAGCTCTGCTCAAAAGGAAGATTCCTTCACATTTAAAAGATCCACCAGTACCATACAGTTCTGCATCGCTTTGGGAAGGAGCGGGTTGATTGGATTGGGTTCCTTGCCCAGCTGCCAGTTTGGCCATGTGGCCATCCATGCTGGCACGTGGGGAGGGTTAAGAATGTGTGATGAGCAAGGGGAGAATACCCCTTTTGTAATCATTGTTTTCTGGTTTTAAGCTGATTGTGAGACTGCAGGCTTGGAATTGGTATTGCCTTTTGACTCCCTTAAAAACTGTCTAGTGCAGTGTGGAGATATTTTTTCCTAAACTGTAAAACTTCCCAGATATTTGGGAAAAAACCAAGAATATTTACAACTGTTAATTCAAAATGATTTCAGTTTAAACTGAGTACCTAAGTATTTCATGTTCTGAAGTATTAATGTTAACACTTTTTCGCGCCTTTTTGAGTATAAATCAAGACTGAAAAAACTTTTTGGGACATTTGTTAGGGATGAAGTTAATATGAACTGCATCCAGATAGTGAATGTGAAAACAATGATTTTTTTTTTTTTGAGAGAGAGATTCTGAACTTCTGATATCATTCCTGAAGCCATTTCAGAAGTGTTTTTATCTTTTCTTCAAAAAAGGCGGAAAAATAAAAAGTGGGTTTTTTTAATCACTTTTGAGCAGTCTTTGCTGATAAATTAAGCTGATGTTAGTGTGGGAATGGTATTGGAGGGCAAATAAATTGGAATGTGCAAATGGAAAACACATCAGTAAACTGTGTGTCATAGTTTGACTTTTCTTTTGTTTTCATGGGAAATGTGCAGGACCACTATTCTAATTTTGCTTTTTCTTTTGATTGCTGAATGCTTTTTAAGAAAATATGTGCCGTTTCTGATTTATAACTCCTGTATGTGTGTGTGGGGGGGTTTGGTTTTGTTTTGTTCCCCCCCCCCCCAATTACTAAATGTGCATTACAAAATATGTTTACTTAAGCTGGCTGAAGAGCTTGCCCTCTCCCCTTCCACGCTGCAGCTTGTCATGTACAGTTGCATAGATGTAGCTGGTATAAACGATATCGTTCAAATTATCTGGTTAAATATAGTGCTTCTCTCCTGCTTCTGACCCCCTTTCTTGTAAGGGTTATTTTTACTCAGATGATTCCAGTGATCCAGTTTAAGTATAGCACGATGAATGGTTGTATCAGCACAGCTGAGTGGTCAGGGATTTTTAAAACTAGTATTGTTGTTGAAGCTAATGTAATGTAACTGCACTTTTTCCCTTTAGGCTGACATTTTCAAGGCAGTTAGAGAAGTTAATGAGGACTTGAACGTGAGGGGAAGTATCAGTTACCGTAAAGTAACTTGATATTTGGATACCTGTTAAAATAAGACACAGAGCATACCCCCACCCCCAACACGTAGCCAGTATGTAGTGCTTTTCTTCCAGGGAGCTCCAGATTACTTCAGGAATCTCAGGGGAAATAGAGCTGAAGAGTGGTTGCTTCTTGTTTGCAGGACTGGAGGCTGCTGACTCATGAGCTGCTTAAAAGAAAATTAATGTGCTCGCTTTGGCCACTTAAAAGCCAAACCAGCGGAAAAAAACTAGCGTTCAAAATGCATATCCTGCAAGACGAGCAAGGATGAAGTTGCAGAAGGAGTAAAAAGAAGAGAATCTTTACTTCTTGCAGGCACTGCAGTCGGTTGCTAAGCAGGAGTTTTACTGCAGTTATTCTACAGCAGTATTGCTGCTGACAATGCAGATTAACAAGGAAAGCATTACGCTTAATTAATATTTTTGTGTAATGCCGTATTTTGATCTTATACTGTCTTTCGGATTGCAGAAAAATGCTTACTTGGCACTTGACATCTTTGTGATAATTAACTAAATACATGTTTGCTTATTTCCTGCATTGCAGCTGAAAGGGCTTTCTATCTTCTACCTTGTGCAGTAGGAATGTGGATGCTTTTAGAGAAGAAAAATTAAATGGGAATAACTCTTTGCTATTCCTAATGGCTAAAATAGACACATTACCCTTTGTTTTTAGTTGATATAGCCGAATGAAAACCAAGTGGACGAAAGATTTACATTAGACCTTGAGAATGCTTGATCATTTAAGAAAAACCTATGCACTATCTGGATAGGTTATTGTGATACGCTTAATCTGAAAATAACATAGTGCTGAAGTAAGGCTGCTTGAAAAAACTATGCAGAATCAATTACAGTAGTTTAGGGTATTTTCATCTCTTCCCTCCCCTGTGCCCTTAGCCAGCAAAAAGGATTATGTGAGCCTTTTGCAGCATAATTTTGCAGTGTGCATTTTCTTCAACAAAGCTGACGTAAGTAGCCTTGTTCTAGAATTCGGTGTTCTGTCCTTTTGTTTTGTTTTTTTTTTTTTCTGTTGTGATTGTTTGTGGGTTTATGTTGGAAACTAGATCACAGAAATTGTTTGAGGTTTTATTAATGCATTTTGTAGACACTGCTTAACCGGGCTCATATTGGCAGTCTCATTTTTTGTGGACCCTCATAAACAATTGCACCAGTCTGACTAAGGGAATGAATCTGCAGGATGGGAGCGAGTGGCTTGAGCAAGCAAGAACTTAAAACTTCTTTGTCTGTAAAGCCAGTTTATTGTAGGACTTAAGCCACCTTAAGCAGAGGAGGCTTCAGTTAACCTGGCTGGCTTTGCACTAGAGCGTTGGAAATGTTTGAGCTCTTTATCCTGTCTTTTGATCTTCAGCTAGGATCTCTTGAATCGCCAAAGGTACTTCTGCTATGGTTGTCCAACCATGGCGGCACCTATTCTAAAATGAGACAGCATGTGTAAGAGTAAATTGCCTTTAGTTCCTGTTGTGGTAGATTTTCAATATACTGAATGTTGTTCAGGCCGATTTTCTTGATCTATCTCAAACTGCGGTTGCTGCATTTGGCTGCTGTTACACTGTTAGCATCTGTCCCCGGCATGAAATACCTGTACAAATGGTAGTACGTTATTTGGAGCTCAGGTAGTTCTTAGTCCTTTGACTAGTACTTTACTAGCTTTGACATACTCGAAGATGAAGTAGTCAAGCGTTAAATCTAACCTGTGAGATTTTTCAAAGAAAGAAACTGTTTTGGCTCTAGGTGACATATCTAAAAGACCACGTCATATAAATGTGGTTATGATTTGTGTTTTAGTAGATGGTGCTAGGCATCAAATACTTTGTAAGACAAGCTTAGTTGTTAAACTGTTTCACAGACTTCAATGTTTCCAAAATATGCTGAACTCTTCTGCTCAGCTCTTAAGATTGGGCATAGAGAGTGAATTAGCTAGAAAAAAAATGAGCAAGGTATTTTAACTGAAATGTCCTGAAACCAAAAGAGCAAAAAACGTTGTCACTCAGTAACAAGTAATTCTTGTTAACATACTTGTTAACAAGTAATTACTTGTTCAGAACAAGTAATACAAACTCTAAAAGGTTTGGGTTGCATCAGGTTTTTAATTTTTTACATTTAAAAAGAAGTGATTCTCTTTGCTTTCTTCTCCCTTTTGTTGTTGCTCTATATTAGGAAGATAATGATAAAGGAGTCATTTTAATGAGACCAAGGCAAATTTCATAAAAATATGGTCAGGTCTATCATCTTGTAGAAATGTTGAAAATTTAGCGTTTAATTTTTAGGTCTGTTGTCCTTGTAAACTTTGCTTCCTTTTCTAAGGCCCTTAAAACTTATGCTTTAGATCCTTTGTCACTTTAGGCATGTGTAAGTTTACCTGTTTTTAGCTAATGTCGGTGTCTTGCGCAGTTGTGT